GAGCTTATAGAAAGGAGATGGTAGAATCACTTGCACACGAGTTAACTCTGTCTTCAAACAGGAAGGATTTATCAGAAAACAGTTATTAAGTTCTCCACAGGATGTGTTATCAAGACTAATCTAAAAATTGAACGTTTTATAGAAGTGAAACAGTTTAATGTTGTTTTTGTAAGTGATTTAAAGTTTAGAACTTTATTTGAACTGTATCAGTAAGTAAACTAGTTAGTATCAATTAATTGGCACATCTTAAAAGAATACTTTAAGTACTACAGAAAACTACACAGAAAGTTTAGTTTCCACTTCTGTAACGTTGTTCTCTGAATAGTCTTTATGAATGAAGTTTACCTTCTTCTATGATAATTAAATCAATTTACCACTGGAAGGAATCATTTTTATGGTAATTGAAGTACTTATTAACAACAAGTATTTTCACGATATACTGAAGTTTAAATAAACAAGACTAGGACTTAATTTTGTGATACCTCAATAAACCAGCCGAGATGAATCGGTAACATTCAAAGTAAAGCAAGATGTTCGTAGTAAATAAACAACAGAATGATTTGGAATGATATCTAAAGTAGTTGGAGATGTTTAGTCAGGTTGTAGTAAATAAACAACAGAATGATTTAGAATATGATATCTAAAGTAGTTGGAGATGTTTAGTCAGGTTGTAGTAAATAAACAACAGAATGATTTGGAATACGATATCTAAAGTAGTTGGAGATGTTTAGTCAGGTTGTAGTAAATAAACAACAGAATGATTTGGAATACGATATCTAAAGTAGTTGGACATGTTTAGTCAGGTTGTAGTAAATAAACAGAATGATTTGGAATATGATATCTAAAGTAGTTAGTCAGTTTTTAGTACCAAGTATGATAGTAACAAATGTATAAATATTATAGGAGACGAGATCCTCATGATCAATGGTCAACCATTACAAGGCATGGCACATTCTGAAGCTATTGCTACTTTTAAATACATAAAACAAGGCATAGTAATACTCCTTGTAGGTAGAAGGACTTCTATTGGAAAACAAAGGTAAGTTTCTTCAGTACCTATAGCAAACAGTTTTGTCGTGTTTAACTGTATAAAACACAAATTGATCTATTTCAAGAGTCAATAATAAACATCAAAAGTTTAAACTAATCAATATAAAATACCCGTTATGTTAAACTAACCTTCTTGTATCACAATAAACTACCTGAAACTTTGAATAAACTTTATTGTAGTAAAATACAAACCTCCATCATCCAGCAGTAATTTTAGGATTAAAATATTCCCATTAACAATAGTGATAAAGCTTTCAGGGAAATGGGTTTTCACAAGATAAAGCCTAGACTGTAGTGTTTAAGTAACACGAGCTAGCGAAGAAGAAATGTCTGACAAACAGTCTGTTAGATGGTTCAGACATCGGTATGATGTTACCTTTTCTTCTGGGGGTAGTGGTGGTCATATTCAGGACTTTGTAAGGGGTGCTCATTTTTGAAAATTATTGCACCACGTAGTGGATGGTTTGATACCTTACAATATTGGAATCGGGTACAGACCCAGGACAGGATCACGACTCCTTACAATATTGGTATCGGGTACAAACCCAGGACAGGATCACGACTGATTTCAGTACATATTTACATCATCATGTCAGAGTATACTGTATTACAGTTGCCAGAAGATAACAATTATATAGGGAGGGGGCATGCTCACAGTGCTCTGGGGGTAAGGGTCACAAGACAAGATTTGTCATTAGTAAGTTAGGATAGTCGGTTAAAAGGTGGTAAGAGGCAGATTTGATAACTTTCAAAACAAGACATGTTCCCAGCAACAACAAAAAACTAATTTAAGTTTAAATTGTTTAATGAATAGATACGCTGAAAGATTTACTGAACTATTAGAAATGTATACTAAAACAAAATTACGAGGGCTTACGAGAAACGGCAGGCTGACAATGTCAAAACTAACGGCAACAATTCAAGTATATTAAAGATGCTGTAATGAAGATTAGACATTTAGAGGATACTGATGGCAAGCTTTTAAATGTTTCTCTTTTTCTGTTACAAGTCAAATATTAGCAATATTCCTGACCGTGAGCTTTGAGACATACTAGAATTTACCTTAATCATGTAGACATTAACCCCCTGGTGATAAATAGAAACATCCAAGATAGATAAAGAAAGGGCCAGACAAAGAAATACACGTGTCAAAGGTTTATAAGCAAGTTTTTCATTTTTGGTTGGTCAACAGACAGTCTGAGGACTTACGAGTTGACTATGTTCGTCCTATTTTTTTTAAAAAGGGGTGTTAGCGTTGCTCTGGAAATTATATGCCAGCTAGTGTCTTACTTCTGTAGTTTGTGTGTGTGGGTG